GTTGTTGTTACTCCCCAGTAAGTCAGATCTCAACAGCACTTACAGCTGTTGTTGTTACTCCCCAGTAAGTCAGATATCAACAGCACTTACAGCTGTTGTGGTTACTCCTCAGTAAGTCAGATCTCAACAGCACTTACAGCTGTTGTGGTTACTCCCCAGTAAGTCAGATTGTTAATTATAAAGCCATGATTCATTTTTATTTCTTTTTTCCCCCCCATATTTTAAATAGATATAAGATGTTGCACTTTTGTTGTACTGGAGAAAATCCTATCCTGTACAGGTATTAGAGAATTAGAAATTTACATATGATAGCTCTATCTTGGACAAGTATATGGGAGAAAGAAAGAATGCCACTACATGTAACTATGAAAGGAGGTGTCAGTTAATATCGTAATCAAGTTTGTTTAGGTGTCATGTAGGAGTAGTTTTTGATCAGTGTTGATTTTGTGATGCAGGCTTTCACAAATTGCCAAATTCACATCTTCCTAATTTTAATAATAACAAAACAAAAATCTAAATTATTTTTGAGGGTTTAATATCTTAAATGTCACTGAGGGTTGAATTAATGTCTGTTTTCATAATTTTTCAGGCCCATTGTTGTGATGATAAGGTTCACTGCTGTCCCGCCTCCTACAAGTGTCTTAGTTCTGGTCTGTGTGAGGATAAAAATGGCTTCCAGTTGCCATGGACACGCAAGGTAGAGGCCACTGCCTTAAAGGTCAAGGCCAACATTGTTTGTCCTGACAAAAGTCAGTGTACAGAAGGAAAGACCTGTTGTATGAAGGGCGTCAATATCTATGGATGCTGTCCTCTCAGAAATGTAAGGTTTCGTTTTATTTATCATGTTCAGCTTTTCTCTACTCCTTTTTTTTTATGGCAAGTTAGATTTGATTTCCCCTGGCATCTTAGGATGGACACCAGGGGGTCTCCTTCCCTTCATTTATTCTGCTCTTTTATTTCTTCTCTTATCCTCACTTCAACCGTTGTTTTGTATATAATTTTTGCAATGCAATTGAAATGATATATTATAGCCCCCACAAATCCCTGTATTAATGTATATATATATATATCCATACACAAACAAATCTATCTATAAATAATATACATGTAATAGCTCCTGTATGGTTGTGATCGGGTTTTACCTTTTCACCCGATTTAGACAAAATATTGATAAAAGTTACATTGGCAATAATATACACAGTCATTTATATCACATTTCATTTATTGAAAATTTAACAATTTATATTTAAATTCAATATTTGATAATGTACCAATCAATTCAAATCAAAGTACATCAAACATTCAAATAGAATTTAACAGCAGACTTATAGTACAATATATATATATTTGTACCTCAGAAATTATTTTTCAACTTTTATGATGTTAGTTAATCTTTTTAAAATTACAATATATATATTTGTACCTCAAAAATTTAATTAATATTTTCAACCTTTATCATGTTAGTTATTCATTTTAAAATTAGATAAGTCCAGAAACCAAATACTGTTGTGATTTCAAAAATGTTAAAAACAAAATGTCCTTATATTTCCATTAGTGCTTCAAAGTTATCGTTTCAAGTACAAATATAAACAATACATTTTTTTTCTCACTTATATGTGAGAGAAATGCAGTAGAAAGACAGACTTTCAGGTTTCTGGGTTCAAGATGGCCGCCCTGACCACTGATTGGCTCAGACAATAACAGTTATAACTTGAGTTCTATAGGGTCGACTTTGATATTATGTGGGAGTAATATGTCAAAGGCATGGTGTTTTATGTTACAGGCTGTTTGTTGCACTGACAAGAAACACTGTTGTCCCTACGGGTACAAATGTGGCCCTAAAATTGGCACCTGCATGCAAGGTTACCATGTCACTGACCTCTCCATGGAAACCAACCTCGACCAATCAGATGAGTTGACCCCAGACCACAAGGTTGCTGTTAAGGAGACGGTACTCTCTACTAATATCGTATGTCCAGACGGGCAGAGTGAATGTAAGACGGGACAGACTTGCTGCAGAGAAGAATCTGGCCGATACGGATGTTGTCCTATTCCGCAAGTGAGGGGAAATTTATTTTCTACGTCATTTAAAGAATTAGGGTTTTCTCTGATTTTGGTAATATGTGTTTTCATTAAATGTTTTATTCTGCTTAACCAATGGGCCTTAGGGGTCTACGGTGGATCATATTTGTTTTCAGGGAGGAAAGTCTGCAAAATTTCTGATAACCATTTAAAACTTCTTCTGAATAATGTTTGTGTGAGTATGAGGCTTAAATTTGGATCATGATAGACGGTCTGTAGCTTAGATGAGTGAAGGGCTGTCAGCTTTGTTCGGATTGATGACTTGAACCACATTCCATGTGTTTTTAAATGGATTTTTTTAAAATGGATTGTTTTTAAATGGATTGTTTTTGAATGAATGGATTTTTTTAAATTGACTGTTTTTAAATGGATCGTTTTTGAATGGATTGTTTTTAAATGGGTTGTTTTTGAATGAATGGATTGTTTTTAAATGGATTGTTTTAAATTAATTGTTTTTGAATGTATTGTTTTTGAATGAATGGATGGTTTCTAAATTGACTGTTTTTAAATGGATTGTTTTTGAATGGATTGTTTTTAAATGGATTGTTTTTTAATGGATTTTTTTTGAATGGATTAGTCTAATTAGTCCCCAATTATCAGTTTATAAGCCTCACACAATTTGTCTTTGAAAACTGAAAGATCCAGGGTTCTGATATTTAAGTACCTCATGAATGAATGGAATACTATGAAATGTCCTCATATACATATATGACCCTTAAGGTGTAGAGCCATTATAATAGGAATTTTCATGAAGACCAATATTTTTAGCTCACCTGGCCCTATGCCGTGGTGCGGTGTCTGTCCGGCGTCCATCCGGCATTCGTCCGGCGTCAATATTTTATTTTAAACAACTTCTTCTCAATAACCAAAAGGCCTAGGGTGAAGATATTTGACTAGTAGCATGCTGGGATGAAGGGCTACCAAGTTTGTTCAAATGAATGACCTTGACCAACTTTCAAGGTCACATAACTTAAAATCTTCAAAAAAAAATCTTCTCACTAACTGAAAGACCCAGGGTACTGATATTGGGCCTGTAGCATGCTAGGATGAAGGGCCACCAAGTTTGTTCAAATATATGACCTTGATCCACTTTCAAGGTCACAGGGGTCAAATGTCTTAAAATATTCAAACAACTTCTTCTCAATAACCAAATGGCCCAGGGCACTGCTATTAGGCCTGTAGCATGCTGAGATGAAGGGCTACCAAGTTTGTTCAAATAAATGACCTTGACCCACTTTCAAGGTCACAGGGGTCAAATATGTTTAAAACCTTTAAACGACTTCTTAATAAGCAAAAGGCCAAGGGTGATCTTATTTGGCCATTAACATGCTGGGATGAAGGACTACCAAGTGAATGACCTTTGCCCATATTCAAGGTCACAGTGGTCAATATATGTTTAAATCTTTCAATGATTTGTTTTGTATAACCAAAAGGTCCAAGGTAATGATATTTTGCCAGAAGCATGCTGGGTTGGAAGACTATAAACTATGTTTAACCTAGTGTCCTTGTTCGACATTCAAGTTCACAGGCGTCATATGTTTAAATCTTTTAATAGGTTCTTATGAATCAAACACTGATATTTTGCCTGTAGCTGTATTTTAGTCCACTTTTAAGATTACAAGTGTGAAATTAATACCAGGTGAGCGATGCAGGCCCATTGGGCCTTTTGTTCCAAATATGTTATGTTTAATTAGGTCAAAGGTAAACTTTTAGTGCTGTATACATGTATGGGGTCAAATTTTAACACAGGCTATCATAGTTGAAAAGCTTTCAGAATCTTCTCAAGTTTCATTTGGCCCAGGGACATGATATTTAGCCGGCAAGTACCCGGGATAGAGTGCTCTAAACAGCCTTCATCAAAGTTATCAACTTGACTTGCTTTGGAGGACACAGGGGTCAAATAGGTTAAAATCTTCCACTGATATTACCTACAGTATCATAAGGTCTAGAGCCAAATCCAGTACTTTATGTATTACAGTTAAACCTTGTCATACTGCCACCATTTGTTCAGAGAAAATCTGGCATTATAAAAGGGTTTGGCAACAAATGGAGTGAAAGTATTGTATAAAGAAAGTCTTAAGAAAACGAGAAAAGAGCCATTGAAAAATGTTGGCCCTTGGTATCCCTTGGTCTGTAGCTGTATATGTTTACTGTTGAGACTGTCTGGAAAAACTAATATGGCGACTGGTAGCCATTTTTATTTTCGAGAATTATGTTTTGTTGCCTCTATTTCACAGAAAGTGCTGGCATCTTTCTCAAATTTGGTATGTAGGTTCCCCTCGATCACTTTGTTAAAAATACTAATGAGAATTCATCTCTTATTGACATCAATTCTAATTATTAGAGAAGGTTTACAACATTTCAGCATTTTGTATATAGTTAAATTCAATAAGATTTGCCATAGTGGCAAATAAAATAAGAGATAAGGTCGTTTAAGTTAATGTTCAAGTTTCCTGTTTAGGATTTCAAACATGGGACTTGAAAATGAAGAGCAAAGAAGGTAAAATACCATCTTTTGTAGATCTGATAAAAGATTCTTTCAGTGAGGGCACCAAGGTCTTTATAGGACCTATTTTTTTAATGTCTGATCAGAAAACTATAATGTGCACTGATTAAATAATTCTTTCCACAACAGGCGGTTTGCTGTGCAGACATGAAACACTGCTGTCCAGAGGGCACACAATGCGCCACTGGTGCAGGCAAGTGTATCCGTGGTAACGGTTTGTCTGTGGACTGGTTGGAGAAAACTGAAAGCCGACCCGTAGCTACATTGTCAGATGTTATTTGTCCTGGTGGAAAGTCGGAGTGCCCATCCGGTAACACCTGCTGTTTAGTTGGAGACAATAAATACGGATGCTGTCCTAGACCGAACGTAAGTCAGTCAAGTAATCTTTCACAAGACATCAAATCTAATGAGTTAAAATATCTGATACATGTACATCTTGTGAGAGAGTGGAAACTCACGATAAAGTTGATTAGACACAAACAATAACATCCAATCTTGTCCATAAAATATGTTCATTAAGTCTACATATATTTCGTAGGTTTAGTTGTTGAGAGCTTGAAATATACTGATCCCCCCCCCGTAACGAAGTAAGGGGGGTATACTGGAATCAGCTTGTCTGTCTGTCCCTCCGTCTGTCTGTCTGTCTGTCTGTCTGTGGAAAAATTTGGTCTAGGCAACTCATTCTAAAGTAATGGACCAATTTCAACGAAAATTTCCAGATGATAACTGCCACCTGAAGTTGTGCATCCAGGATTTTTTTTATCGTTCTTAACCTTTTTTACGTAGTTATATCCCTTTATTGAAATCCTTTATACCTTGACAACTACTACTAAACTACTATTATAGGTAGATTTTAGCAAAACTGGTTCACCAGGGCTAACAAGATTTGCAGGAAACTATGATGTGCTCTGTTAACTTAATTCTTTCCACAACAGGCGGTTTGCTGTGCAGACATGAAACATTGCTGTCCAGAGGGCAAACAATGCGACACTGGTGCAGGCACGTGTACCGGCGGTAACGGTTTGTCTATGGAATGGTTGGAGAAAACTGAGAGCCGACCCGTAGCTGTGTTGTCAGATGTAATTTGTCCTGATGGAAAGTCGGAGTGCCCATCCGGTAACACATGCTGTTTAGTTGGAGAGGATAAATACGGATGCTGTCCTAGACCGAACGTAAGTCAGTCAAGTAAACTTTCACGAGACATCAAATCTAATTGAGTTGAAATATCTGATACATGTACATCTTGTGAGAGCGTGGAAACTCACGATAAAGTTGATTAGACACAAACAATAACATCCAATCTTGTCCATAAAATATGTTCATTAAGTCTACATATATTTCGTAGGTTTAGTTGTTGAGAGCTTGAAATATACTGATCCCCCCCCCGTAACGAAGTAAGGGGGGTATACTGGAATCAGCTTGTCTGTCTGTCCCTCCGTCTGTCTGTCTGTCTGTCTGTTGAAAAATTTGGTCTAGGCAACTCATTCTAAAGTAATGGACCAATTTCAACGAAAATTTCCAGATGATAACTGCCACCTGAAGTTGTGCATCCAGGATTTATTATATCATTCTTAACCTTTTTTGCGTAGTTATATCCCTTTATTGAAATCCTTTATACCTTGACAACTACTACTAAACTACTATTATAGGTAGATTTTAGCAAAACTGGTTCACCAGGGCTAACAAGATTTGCAGGAAACTATGATGTGCTCTGTTAACTTAATTCTTTCCACAACAGGCGGTTTGCTGTGCAGACATGAAACATTGCTGTCCAGAGGGCAAACAATGCGACACTGGTGCAGGCACGTGTACCGGCGGTAACGGTTTGTCTATGGAATGGTTGGAGAAAACTGAGAGCCGACCTGTGGCTGTGTTGTCAGATGTAATTTGTCCTGATGGAAAGTCGGAGTGCCCATCCGGTAACACATGCTGTTTAGTTGGAGAGGATAAATACGGATGCTGTCCTAGACCGAACGTAAGTCAGTCAAGTAATCTTTCACGAGACATCAAATCTAATTGAGTTGATATATCTGATACATGTACATCTTGTGAGAGAGTGGAAACTCACGATGAACTTGATTAGACACAAACAATAACATCCAATCTTGTCCATAAAATATGTTCATTAAGTCTACATATATTTCGTAGGTTTAGTTGTTGAGAGCTTGAAATATACTGATCCCCCCCCCGTAACAAAGTAAGGGGGTATACTGGAATCAGCTTGTCTGTCTGTCCCTCTGTCTGTCTGTCTGTTTGTGGAATAGTTTGGTCTGGACAACTCATTCTAAATAAAGTAATGGACCAATTTCAACTAAATTTCCAGATGTGATAACTGCCACCTGAAATTGTGCATCCAGGATTTTTTTTATCTTTCTGAACCTTTTTTTTTTGGCGTAGTTATATCCCTTTGTTGAAAAATTCTTATCTTGACAATTATACTCCTAAACTACTATTCATACCTGTCAACCTCTCGGCATACAAATCAGGGTGATGACCCTCTTTGGGGTTTTCAAATCAGGGTCATAACGCGTAGCGTCATTTTCACCCTCTTTTGATATACTATACCCATTACATATATGGAAACCATTAGGAATTAAACAACAATTTTACAACTTTAAATGTGACTTTTATCATAGTTCATGGCTACTGATTTTGCTGCCTTCAAAAGCTTGTCTGAAGGCGCATATTCATAACAGACAGTGTCCTGGTTTAGTTTACATGAAAGCAGAGCATATATGCATACATGCTATAACTTTCCAGTGCAAAATAGTGAGATCAGTGATTATTTTTAGTGAGATTTGGTCAAATATAGTGAGATTTTATCTCTGAATTCGTAAGAAATTCGTAAGACATTTAAAACATATATTCATTTGTGTTATAAGCCTCTATTTACTTTGTTTGGGCCAAAATTGAAGATTTATTGATATTTTAAAGGATTTTAGGAAGGTTTACACGTGACATAGGGTCCAGATAAAGCTATCAACATTTAAAAGTAAATAAATCACATTAAAGGCAAAAAATAAGAGTAATTAAAAAAATAAAAAATTATTGAGGGATAACCTTGTTAACCCAGGTTAGAAAAAAAAAAATCTCAAAACATTGGGAATATTTAATATTAATTTGTTGGGAAAAAATAACCAATAACTACTATTTTTATACATTGTATATCCAATTCTAAAGAAACTTGTTTTCTTCTATTTATGTTATTTTCATTAACACTCAATCCCTCCCCACGGCAAGAGAATGAATTCCGGATTCGATGTCCGCGTCCGGTTTCGATTTTATAGTCACCTCCAACATTTCCGTTTCGATAAACCATGTTTTCGATCGTAGTGAATTAACAGCTCTTTAAGTTGCTGTCTATTGTTAATGTCAACTGTCATCACATATTAATTATCAACTAGCCCCCAGTTGATGAGGGGTCACTGACTTAATTGCTTAACAGTTCACACATCGGTGAGCAAGTCACCAAGCCATGCCCCGCTAAATCGGCTGGCCGGGCCATCCAGATCTTTCACACCTATGCTGCTAATTGGTCTGGCCTGTAATTTAAGTGGCTCGCGTGTGACTTCAGACCTCTCAGTGACCAAGGTCAGTGTGAATCCATATAGCTATTGTTTATTCACAAAGATTGACCAAATTTTGTTTCTTTTCCTGAGACCGATTTCATACCAAGTCAAAATGGGACGATTTTAAGTGAGATCAATTAATGTATTTGAAATAAACAGAATGAAATGGGTTTGAGAATCCGGGTCTTTTAGGGTCATAGATTAAAAAAACAGGTGAAATGATGACCCATTCGGGTCATAATTTTTTCTGGGTGGAGGGTCTTGTTTCCGGGTGTAACCCGAACAATCCGGGTGAGTTTACAGGTATGACTATTATAGGTAGATTTGAGCAAAACTGGTTCACCAGGGCTAACAAGATTTGCAGGAAACTATGATGTACTATGTTAACTTAATTCTTTCCACAACAGGCGGTTTGCTGTGCAGACATGAAACACTGCTGTCCAGAGGGCAAACAATGCGACACTGGTGCAGGCACGTGTACCGGCGGTAACGGTTTGTCTATGGAATGGTTGGAGAAAACTGAGAGCCGACCCGTAGCTGTGTTGTCAGATGTAATTTGTCCTGATGGAAAGTCGGAGTGCCCATCCGGTAACACATGCTGTTTAGTTGGAGAGGATAAATACGGATGCTGTCCTAGACCGAACGTAAGACAGTCAAGTAATCTTTCATGAGACATCAAATCTAATGAGTTAAAATATCTGATACATGTACATCTTGTGAGAGAGTGGAAACTCACGATAAAGTTGATTAGACACAAACAATAACATCCAATCTTGTCCATAAAATATGTTCATTAAGTCTACATATATTTCGTAGGTTTAGTTGTTGAGAGCTTGAAATATACTGATCCCCCCCCCGTAACGAAGTAAGGGGGGTATACTGGAATCAGCTTGTCTGTCTGTCCCTCCGTCTGTCTGTCTGTCTGTCTGTCTGTGGAAAAATTTGGTCTAGGCAACTCATTCTAAAGTAATGGACCAATTTCAACGAAAATTTCCAGATGATAACTGCCACCTGAAGTTGTGCATCCAGGATTTTTTTTATCGTTCTTAACCTTTTTTACGTAGTTATATCCCTTTATTGAAATCCTTTATACCTTGACAACTACTACTAAACTACTATTATAGGTAGATTTTAGCAAAACTGGTTCACCAGGGCTAACAAGATTTGCAGGAAACTATGATGTGCTCTGTTAACTTAATTCTTTCCACAACAGGCGGTTTGCTGTGCAGACATGAAACATTGCTGTCCAGAGGGCAAACAATGCGACACTGGTGCAGGCACGTGTACCGGCGGTAACGGTTTGTCTATGGAATGGTTGGAGAAAACTGAGAGCCGACCTGTGGCTGTGTTGTCAGATGTAATTTGTCCTGATGGAAAGTCGGAGTGCCCATCCGGTAACACATGCTGTTTAGTTGGAGAGGATAAATACGGATGCTGTCCTAGACCGAACGTAAGACAGTCAAGTAATCTTTCACGAGACATCAAATCTAATTGAGTTAAAATATCTGATACATGTACATCTTGTGAGAGCGTGGAAACTCACGATGAACTTGATTAGACACAAACAATAACATCCAATCTTGTCCATAAAATATGTTCATTAAGGTTACATATATTTCATAGGTTTAGTTGTTGAGGGCTTGAAATGTACTGAACACTCCCCCCCCTCCTCCCTGTAACGAAGTAAGGGGGGTATACTGGAATCAACTTGTCTGTCTGTCCCTCCGGCTGTCTGTCTGTCTGTGGAAAAATTTGGTCTAGACAACTCATTCTAAATAAAGTAATGGACCAATTTCAACTAAATTTCCAGATGTGTTAACTGCCACTTGAAGTTGTGCATCCAGGATTATTTTTATTATTCTGAACCTTTTTTGCGTAGTTATGTCCCTTTGTTGAAAAATTCTTATCTTGACAACTACTCGTAAACTACTATTATAGGTAGATTTGAGCAAAACTGATTCACCAGGGCTAACAAGATTTGCAGGAAACAATGACGTGCTCTGTAAACTTAATTATTTCCTAACAGGCGGTTTGCTGTGCAGACATGAAACATTGCTGTCCAGAGGGCAAACAATGTGACACTGGTGCAGGCACGTGTACCGGCGGTAACGGTTTGTCTATGGACTGGTTGGAAAAAACTGAGGGCCGACCTGTGGCTGTGTTGTCAGATGTTATTTGTCCTGATGGAAAGTCGGAGTGCCCATCTGGTAACACCTGCTGTTTGGTTGGAGAGGATAAATACGGATGCTGTCCTAGACCGAACGTAAGTCAGTCAAGTAATCTTTCACGAGACATCAAATCTAATTGAGTTAAAATATCTGATACATGTACATCTTGTGAGAAAGTTTACATATATTTCGTACGTTTAGTTGTTGAGGGCTTGAAATGTATCTATACCCCCTGCAACAAGATAAAGGGGTATACTGAAATCAGCTTGTCTGTCCTTCAGTCCGTACATCTGTCTGTTCGTAGAAAATTTTGTCTAGACAACTTCTTCTAAAGTAATGGACCAATTTCAACAAAAGTTTCCAGATATGAAAACTACCCATTGGGCCCTTTGTTGAAAAATCCTTGTCCAGACAAATTTTGCAAAGCTACTGGGCAAATTTCAATGAAATGATTCAGATATGATAACTACATGCACCTGATTTTGTACATGAAGGTATTATTTTTATCATTCTGAGCTTTGTTGAAAAATCCTTGTTCAGACGTCTCCTCTAAATCTAGTGGGCCAATTCCAACCAAAGTTTTCACATATAACTAACCCCTGATGTTGTGCACCCAGGTATTTTTTTCCGACCCTTTTTTATGGAGTTTATGGCCCTTTGTTGAAAAATCCTTGTCCTGGCAACTACTTCTCCAAAACTACTGTCCAAATGTCAAAGTAATCTTTCACAAGACATCAAATCTAACCGAGTTAAAATATCTAATACATGTACATCTTGTGAGAGAGTGGAAACTCACGATGAACTTGATTAGACACAAACAATAACATCCAATCTTGTCTATAAAATATTCTTATTCAGTTTACATATATTTCCTTCGTTAAGTTGTTGAGGGCTTGAAATGTATCTTCCATAAAGTCAGCGTGTCTGTCTGTCTGTCAGTAGATTTTTTTTTCTTCTTGACAACTTCTAAAGTAATCAACAAAAGTTTGCAGATATGATAACTACCACCTGAAGTCGTGCATCCAAGTTTTAATTTTTCCGTCTTGTGTGCAGGCGGAATGTTGTGCAGACAAGAAGCACTGTTGCCCACAAGGCTACGAGTGTGAGACGGGCCAAGGAAAATGCACCAAGGGTGACCACGTCATTGATTGGTTGGAAAAATCTCCGTCCAGCATAGTGACCAAGTCCCCAGGGGTAAGTGGTCAACACCTTTGTCCGGACCACCTTTCCGTTTGTGAGCCTGGTCAGACCTGCTGTAAGATGACCGGCCACCTGTATGGATGCTGTCCCTTCCCACAGGTACTGTGACTGTAGCGTGTAGAATCCTACACAGCATGCGTGTGATATACAGTTTCAGTTGCGACCCCTATTTCTACACTGGGAGTAGACCTTCAATATCTCCCATTCCTATATTTCCTTTTAACTCATGTACACAGTCTTACATTTCATGGACACAGTTTCCTGTTTCTGGGGTCTTAATGAAATTGCCAACAAATCTTGGTGATCATTTTACAATTTGACAAGTTTTTGTAGAAAAAAAAATCAGAAAGTTTTATTTAGCTCTTCAAAAGCACGTGAACAAATCTTGGTGATCATTTTACAATTTGACAAGTTTTTGTAGAAAAAAAAATCAGAAAGTTTTATTTATCTCTTCAAAAGCACGTGAGCTTATGTATATAAACATATAGTTCCTATGCCAAATCCCAATTACCAGTTTATTTAATATCTTTGCCGTTGTTCACAAACACACACAGTATCACACAGTATAGGTGGTAAACAAAACTGCCATTGTAAATTCTGCCTTCGGCTAACGCTAGCAGAGGGGCTGATTGTTTTCAAGTATTAGCTATATCCTACTATATTTCTAATAATGCTTTTATGTTATGTAATTATTTGATGTTTTTTTTCTCTGTGCCTCGGATTGCTCCAAAAATTTGACAACATCATACTGTCTACACTGTTAGAATGACCTCCTTGCCCCATATATATTTATTGTAGGGAGTTTGTTGTGGTTTGTGTTGTAGGGAGTTTGTTGTGGAGATAACAGTGGTCACTGTTGTCCAGCAGGGTACACCTGTAATGTCCAGGAACAGAACTGTAGAAAGGATGGACAAGTCATTGAGTTCACAAAGGTCAACACAATATCTGTCCAGAATGTGGTCTGTCCTGACAAGAAATCAGAATGTCCAACAGGAAATACTTGTTGTCTTGGAGTTGGAGACCGATATGGATGCTGCCCGCTGCCAAATGTAGGTCAACATAGATGATTCAAATACACATCTCCTTAAGGATCCCTGTCCCACTACAGGCAAAACACATCTCCTTAAGGATCCCTGTCCCACTACAGGCAAAACACATCTCCTTAAGGATCCCTGATCCTCATTACTTGGAAGATTTATTGCTATCAAACTGTCTGTCATTCCGTATCTCTGACCATCATTTTGAATTTCTTTCTCAGATGTTTTTGTTTTAATAAATAATTGAACCAGTTTTCTTTATGTTAATTGCTCAAGGGTAAAGGAGAAAACTATTGATTGTTGATTATGGACTACGTTTGTCAAACGTCTGTCATTTTAACTTACCTCTGAACAGATGATCGTACAAATTTCAAAGCTCTGTTGATAACAAGCATGGTCCATCTTAGACAAGTTCCACTCACATTGCCATTAGTTACTGACTTGTTTTAGAAAGTCAAGCAATTGTTTTAATTTAAGTAATGATCAAAATAATCAAATCTCTATCACAGGCACATAAATATTTCTTAACATTAATATCGTCAACATCCCGTAACATACAATAATGATTGAATGTTTCCCCTCCACTCGTATCGATCATCAATGATTCGACAATAACACCCCTGCACCTAAACATAGATGTGTACTTGAATGTTTTCCCTCACACCGTAACATTCTTATGTAGTTGAATGCCTCCGAGCTGCCCATGTGTTGATGTTAATTGTTTTAAGAGGAAAACATAATGGACTTTGAACTGATGGTTTTTTCCACAACAGGCGGTTTGCTGTGCAGATGGGAAACATTGCTGTCCAGAGAATACAAAATGCGACACTGGTGCAGGCAAGTGTATCCGTGGTAACGGTTTGTCTATGGACTGGTTGGAGAAGACTGAAAGCCGACCCGTAGCTACATTGTCAGGTGTTGTTTGTCCTGATGGAAAGTCGGAGTGCCCATCCGGTAGCACATGCTGTTTGGTTGGAGAGAATAAATACGGATGCTGCCCTCAACCGAACGTAAGTCATTGAACAACCTCTCACAAGAAGTCCTATTCCTTTAATCAAAATATTGAAAACACAAACGTTTTGTGAAACTGGATATACACAACAGTATTGTTCCATGACGTTATTTGTTGTG